TTCAAGAAACGAAGTTTGCGGTCGTGTGTGGTGACTTGTAAGGGAGTAATGAACATCATGTAAAAAAATCAAATTTCTATCACATCTAATTCATGGTGATGATCAGAACTTTTCGATACCCCCTCGTATATTTCAGCAACCGCCGGACCGATTGGCCTGCGGTCTTTTTTGCTGGGTAGCCCCATCCCTTCTACCCCGTAATTGACTACTTTTGATACATCTCAGTGACCGTCGTGGCACGTGCCACGTGAAAAGTCAAGGGTGTGCAAGCTGTTTTGCAAAAGTAGTGATTTTGAGAGGCTCATATCTCAGCAGCCGCTTTGGCGATTGACTTGCGGTAATTTTTGTAGGGTAGCAGCATCCCTTCTACCAAAAATAGGATACTCTCGATGCATGTAGGTCACCCCCAGTGCACGTGCAAAATACAACAATAAGAGGTGTCAAATTTGTTCCCATTTTAATAACTCGGTAATTACTGGGGCGATTTCGCTGAAACTTGGCATACAGGTAGGCACCCACCAGGCAATGCATTCCCATGTGTTGCGGTTAAGGTGCTACTGCACGTGCGCACGTGCAGGGGGCGCTTCCAGATCTCGAGAACGGCTGGGCCGATTGCGCTCAAATTTGGTACACGGTTGGGGACCAGTTAGTAGGGTGCCGTGCAAGTCAGTTTGGACCCCGTTTGCACGTGCGCACGTGCAGATTGCCGCTTCCAGATCTCAGGAACGGCTGGGCCGATTGCGTTCAAATTTGGTACACCGCTAGCGACCGGTTAGAAGGGTGCTTTGCGCAAGCCCGTTGGAAGTACCCTCTCGCCCCTCCGCACGTGCAGCCTGCAGGGCTCACTATCTCGCTCGCTCGTTCTTCGCCCAAAAGGCGTTTTACTGGTGTTAGAACTATTGACAACAAACCGTCGGTTATCCCAGCGTGCCAACGTTAGCTGGCCGCCACACTCCCCAGAGACCTATCGCCTCTTGACTTTTTTATCTGTAGGGGCTCCTCAAGAGTGGTATACGCAAATAATCCTCAAACTCTGGACCAGCTGAGGAACTCGATCCGGATATGCATCCGGAAAATCCCGATTGAAACATGTGCCCGCGTAGCCCAAGAGTCCTAAAGACGCTCCACCATGTGTGCCGAGCGAAAGGGAGGGCACTTTGAGCGTTAGCACGGCTGAACCTTTAACTGGGATGTGATGCGATGTGTATTTTTGTTAAATTAGCAATGCATGAATGAAACCTAGTTTCAATATTTCTAATGATTTTAGTGTTATGTTCTGAGTTGCTGAAAATATCGGCAAATTAATTGAAAGCTTCTTCCCAGAAACGACCGTGGAAATAGTTGAAGAGCGAAATTGCAATGGTTTTGCTCATCCGTTATCACTCGGCTGTCACTTTAAGTACCTACAGTAAAATAGTTTATACCAAACAAACAAAATGCTATGGAATAAGCTTTCATATGGTACCAAATTTAGGATCATTGTATGCTCAGACACTGAGATATCTTAATTTCAAATGAGGTATATTTTTTGGGACACCCTGATGTTTTATACGTAAGTTAGTTGGTACCAACGAATACTTTATACCAGTGACCGCGGATTCCAATTTTCGAAGGGTGTGCAAACTGTTTTCATGGGGATGGGCCCCCCTCCGCTCCCGGCTGGGCCCCTCACCAGTCAGCGCCCCCCCCCCCCCCCACACACACACACGCACACGCCACACACCGAACCAGAAAAGATCAGTGAAACATGATGGGTGTCTCAGGGCTTTGCATCAACTGCAGAGAAAAAGTGAACTGGTGCAGTCAAGGTGCAGTGCTCGGATTATACTTGGATGGATAGTGAATTAACCCGCGCCCTTCTGTTTGACCCCCCCCCCTCCGGTTTTTCGCATCGACACACCTTATCATACATCATTTTCGCACATGCTGTGAAAATTTCAGCCCAAGGTCGGGTCGCCAGATCACGTCAAGTGACCTCACCTCCTAAAAAGTTCCAATGCCTGTTATAGCTATACCGAGTGACCGATCGTTTTAAAAATTTTAGCAATTGACAAATGCAACAATATGTAAAAAATCTATGCCTTGGAATTTCGATATCGATGACCTAAGGTGAGGTCAGTTTTTCAGTTTTTCGACCTCTCCATTATAGGCAAGTCAACGAGAGAAAATTGAAAATTGTCTATTTTAGACAAACGCTATTCTAAACACTTTCAAACACCAAACTGCGAGTAAAGATGTCAAGCTGAAACAGAAAATGGCACCCGTGACCCCTCGTTATGTCCCCAAGGTCATCTCAGGTCACGAAGTGTATCTAACGGTTTTTCGCTTATAACTTCTGATAGAGACATGTTGGAGCGATGAAAATGCCTTGGATGTGTTTCAGGGGCCGAGTTAGAGGGGGAATGTTCAAACACCCCCCCCCCCAGCAGGGCGTGGAAATCCAGCCCCCCCCCCAGCAGTGCGTGGATTTAACACATTTTTACGTCTTTTACGATTTGTTCAGCGAATTATAATCCGAGACATTAAAAAAAAAGATTCAGATGCGTCCGATTGTATTCATCCGGTTCTTGGGATGCTAGCGAACAAAGTCACGCAGAATCATATCGAGATCGAGACGCTTCGCCCTTTTGATGTGTACTGCCAGAGCTATCATAACCAGACAGCCTGGCCCGGCCCATCGTGCTTCGCAAGCATGTCTTCACTCTAGTGAGGACACTGAATGTGCGCAGGACTGGTTCAGCTGATTTTATCTAAGCGTTTTCAGCTGAGTCGGAGAAAATGAAAATAGATTGGAGCTTTAAAAGATTTTGAGATTGATGTTTCTTGCCCGATACAAAATTAACCCTCGCCCGTCTTGGTGTTTTGCCAGCTACGAACGCAGTTACGTATAAGGGGGGTCCCTTGGCCCCCTTGCCGTTTGACCCCTGATTGAGCTAGGGCTTCGCGGAAAGGAGCCGTTAAGGCACTCAAGAGCCAGTAAGGTGCCCCAGCGGCCAGCAAGCAGCCTGCATGGGCCCTCTGACTTCAAAGGCCGGTGAAAGATCCTAGATAGGGCCGGTGAAGGCACGTAGAGGCCTGCATGTGTACCTATACTGCATAGGGTCCGACCCAGAGATAGGCCTTGGCTAGAAGAAGTTCGACGAGGCCCTTAAAAAAGACATGGGGCCCTGCTATCACTGTGTGGGCCCTCAGGTACCGCGGTGTGCTGCCCTTGGGTATTGGCCTGGGGCCCTCGGGCATTGGCCTGGGGTCCTCAAGAGCCAGCTAGGGCCCTCAGAAACTGGTGTGAAACTCTTAGATATCTGTGTGGGCCCTCAGTTACCGACATGGGGCCCTCGAGCACCGGCCTTGGATCCTCGGGCATCGGCCTGGGGCCCATAGGAGCCGGTGAGGGCCCTTGGAAACTGGTGTGCAGCCCTGAGATAACTGTGTGGGCCCTCAGTTACCTACCTGGGGCCCTCGGGCATCCGCCTGGGCCCTCGGGCATCGGTGCGAGGCCCACAAGAGCCGGTTAGGGCCCTTAGAAACTGGCGTGGAACCAGGAAATGACCGTGTGGGCCCTTGGGCATCGGCCTGGGGACCTCGTGAGCCGGTGAGGGCACTCAGAAACTGGCGTGGGGCTCCAGGCATCGGCTTGGGGTCCTAGGACGTCTTCCTGGGCTATCGGACATCGGTCTGGCCCTAAGAAGCTGGCATGGGGCCCTAAGATAATTGTGTGGGCCCTCTGGTACCGGCGAGGGGCCTTCAGGCATCGGCATGGGCCCTTAGAGCCGGTTAGGGCCCTCAGGAACTGGTTTGGAGCCCTGAGATAGCTCTAACTATGGGGCTTTAGGTAACGGAGTAGGCCCTAAGGCATCGGCTTGAGGCCCTCAAGCACGTTCTGGGGCTCCTAGGGCCTTCTCCCATCGGCCAGGACCCTCCGCCATCGGCCCGGGGCCCACAAGAGCTGGTGATGGTCCTCAGAAACTGGCATGGGGTCCTGAGGAGATAGCTGTGTGGGCATTTAGGCGCCCGGGGTTCTCAGACAAACTGGGGCCCACGAGCATCGGCCCGGGATGGTTAAGAGTCTGTGATCGCCCTCAGCAGCCTGCATGGGCCCCCGTAACGAAATAAGGGTGTGCAAAAATAGGTGTTTGCACACCCTCAGGATTTCCAGGGTGTGCAGTTGCACACCCTGCCCCCCGGAATCCGCGGTCCCTGCTTTATACTTTGTAAGTGTATTTACTCTTCAGTTGTATTTTCTGTTAATTCGTTATGAAAAGTTCACCAAGATCATTATTTGTCTTGCATCCGACGTTTTTTTTTCTTGACGTGAATGAGTGTGAATGAGCTAGTATGTGTGAGGGAGAGGTGCCATGAACTAAGCTGAATATCTTGTTTTCTCTGTGGTTATGTCATGCTGATGAAGATTTAATAATCGAAACGCGTCCATGCACTATTTGTTCCGTGTCTTTCTAAGCTGAATAGCTTTTGCAGCGATCCCAGACTGTAATGTATAATGCCTAAATATGTGAATATATTCAATAAAATCGAGCAAGCAACAAAAAAAAATCAAGCAGTTTAGGAGATATTGCAGAAAACCGGGAGGGGGGCTCTGTAGTGCATGCGCGGGTAAATATGACAAAGTGTTCATTCTAACCTATGTCCAGCCTGCCTCTTTCCCTCTGCCGACCGCATACCGCCTGCGAAAAAAAAATCTCCCTGGTCAGAGTTATTGGTGGGGAAAGACACATTAAAAATGGCCAGAAGGCTCTCGCGATAGCCACGCAGCACATGAAAAAGGACGTTTAATCCTCGCACTAATTGACGGAAAGAGGGGGGTCGAACGGAACACCTCCCTCGGTTTTCGCGAAAAATTCGCGCAAAAAGCGGCATCCTCTTTTCACGATAAAGGCGTTTCCTCTTTGCCCAGCGTGTCCGCTTTGCGCTGATCTCCTCTACAAAACATGAATTTCCTCCAATTAGATTATAGGGCGTGGTACGAATTTAAATACATTTGGTTTAGCTCGAGCGTAGTAATATATTTCCAACATCCAGTATACAATGACGGAAAGCAATGATCGCCCCCATGTCTTTAAAACAACACGGGAAAGAAGAAATGATGCTACATATGAGCACCGGACACAGGATAGGATCAAACCCCACTCCCAACCCTCACCAATGCAGCCAGCCGAGCAGCGCCCCTCTGCTGCTGGCAGCCACGCGCCCACACGAGCGCAGCCCTCTTCAGGTAGAGACCTGCCACCGCACGCCGTTCACCGCTTGCCTTTGTTCTTTTTGCCGGCGGTGGCCGCCGGGGCGGCGGCGGCGGCGGCGGCGGCGCCCGCCTCGGCCGGCCGGTTCTGGCGGCTCTTTAGCTTCGGAATGTTTTCAGCCAGGTACAGCAGCAGCGAGTCACCTGAAAACGTCGCAACACAGCCGTCTCAGCCCAGCAATGCGACACGTACAGTCCACAGCAGAAGTAATGTGGGGTTTCAGTCATGGGTATGTTCTGCTTCTGAAGCTTAGGAACGATTAGCCAGACTACAACGAAACTTTGAATGTAGCTTATATGTATCGTCACCCTTGCAGCTGCAACTTTAGCTATTGACATCTTCTTTTCCATCACTCCGCATTAAACAATCGCCAGTCAAAGCCAATCGTTGAGATTGGTAAAACCCTACATTACTTTAGCGGTGGGCTGTACATACGATGTTTGTGGTACAAACAAATGAATGATGACTTCCACCATTAGAGGTAAAAATAAGATCATTAAATTCAAGGTAAAAGTTACGCGAGGTCGAGGAGAATCACTTGGTGACATCCCCAGCGCTCTAGTTTTGCAGCGTAGATTTTAAGCTGCTGTGCAGATTTGCATCAATACTCGGAAAGCACGTTACCCGCGCCCTGCTGGGGGGGGGGGTTGAACACCTCCCCTCCCTGTGGTTTTTCGCGAATATCTCAAAAACGGCGGCCGCCCACCTTATCATACATCAATTCTACACATGTGAAAATTTCGGACCAAGGGGTCGTTCAAGGTCAGGTCACCAGGTCACTTAAAGCGACCTGCCCTCTGGCCTGCAAAATATGACACAACTAACAGCATAAATCCCGTAGCTCAGTTGGTAGAGCGTTGGACTCCGCGTGGTGAGAGCACGCGTTCCCGGTTATAACAGTCCGGGTTCGAAGCGCGACGGGCGCTTGACATTTATGGGCCTCCTGACAGGTATGGTTGCGGTTGGTGGCAGGCCGTAGCCAGGCGAAGTCAGTGAGGGGACCGGCCGTGCGCTGCTATGTGCGCACGTTAAACTTTAGGCTCTAAATTCTGCCATAGAACCGGAATTGCGCGATCGGAGGGTAGAGGGCAGGGTCACCGCAACAAGCTTCGCTTAGCGGTGGCCCTGTCCTTGTGAATCCTTCCTATCAAAAGGTTCGGACTAAATTTATAAAAAAAAAAATTAAAAAATAATACTAAAAAATAAATCGCTGCGAAACAATATCATAGCATTTTCAAATAAACAGTGAGGTTCAGCGCAAATTGTGGCCTTAACACGCACCGTGCTGTTGGCCTGTGTTTTCCGTGTCGTGCTGGAGGGGGGGGGGAACAGGTCTCGCCCCCTCTAACTCGGCTCCTGGGCCACGTAGCGACACGCGGTAAGCATAGATCGAAAGAGTGTCAAAAATAATGACGATACACTCCGGCAGGGGCCCGGGAACGATTTTCAAGTTGAGGGGGGGGGGGGGCCGCGAGCCTAAAATACCTGACATGATGCATATGAAACAGTGGCGTAGCTAGGGGTCTAAGGGGACACGTACCCCCCCCCATCGGGTCCAAAGGGACGCTCGGGTCCCAGGGGCCCTGCGGCGCCATTTGACCGCTGAGGGCTAACGATGGCCATATTTCGACTCAGAGGGGCCCCATGGGGCTTGTTGGAGCACCTCTTGGACCCTAAATAGCCACACTAAGATCTCCATTAGGGCCCCACGCTGACTTCTGAGGGCCTCTTGCGGCTTTTAAGGGCCCCTCGGTGGTCTCCAAAGGCCCGGGACTGGTCTCTGAGAGTTCTTACCGGCCTATAAGGGGCCAGTTCTAAGGCTATTTCCCGCCTGTGATTGTCCCACACTTATTTTTCTGAGGACCCCATAACGGCAACTGTGGGGGCCCTCATCGGCGCCTTTGAGGGCTCACACCGGTCTCTCTGAGGGTTTTACACCCCCAACTCTGAGTGCCTACACCAGTGCCTATTAAAGCCCTATATCGGCGGCTCTGAGGACCCAGGCCCCAACACCTACGCACTAAAGGCCACCCACTGGTGACTTTTGAGGACCCACACCGGCGTCTGACAGTACCTTGCCGGTCTCTAAGGACACCCAACAGGACTTCTTCTGCCGGCCTAAGGGCCCCTTAACCCGTGCCTCTAAAGGCCTCTTACCGGCGGCTCTGAGGGCCCTACGCCGGTGATTCTGAGGGTGCTACTGATAAGTGATAACCGAAGGCACCACACAAGCCCTTAGTGTCGCTGAGCTTTAATCCCATACCGGCCTTCCGAGGGCGCCACGTCAGTGCACTCATTGCCCTACACCCCTCCCTCACACCCGTAGCGGGTAAACTGTGTTATACCTATAGCAACGATTTTACCACCGTTTTACGTTATGTATTTCTCAGAGTGACTTAAAATAGTCCAGGATAAGATCTGGCCTGCCAAACTTATGGCCAAGGTCAGGCCCAAACAAAAGCGGGATGACAAAAGCAGATGTTGTCAAATCGATACTGTATCAGCAGAAACCATTCAGATGGGAAGGAAAATGTCGTGTGTTGATGTTTAGATGTATAAAGGAAACAACTAACAAGAAGGAAAGAAGTCCGGAAAAGGGGGAAAGATCCTTTCTGGCTGCTTCAATGTTGAGGGGCGCCGCCCCCTCGGCTCTCAAGCTGGGGGGGGGGCAAGCGCCCCCGCTGCCCCCCCCCCTGATCCCGGGTCTACGCACTTCGGTCATGTTTTAGGTCAGGTCACCAGCGGTCATCTAAGGTCAAATTTAGTCCATCAATTTCAATCATTTTGGAAACTGCCAACGGCTAACTCGGGAACCAATAGAGCTACAGCGCCGCGGAAAAGCGCATTCGATAGCTCTTTTACATACCTTTCTGACTGTTATTCTCATATTTGACCTCAGGTCAACGGTTTAGCCTCCAGAGGGCAAAAAAATGTAAAAATAGCCGTTTTCACGAAAAATCTTTTTCGGCAATAACATTTGACTCAAGAGAGCCACAACATTATTTTTGGCAGCATCGTGTTCCACTCATCGAGACGCGTCGATTGAACTATTTGTTGACATTGAAAGGTCATTTTGAAAATTTGACCTCAGGTCAAGGTCGTGACCTGACCGGAAAGGGTCATGTTGCACATCAGTCGATCCGTATCGTCGAGCTGAACACATTTGACGTGTTTTTTTTTTCACCGCTCTAGCACGTCTTTATGAAAAGTTATTGCCAAATAAACTACAGGTGACCGTTCATGACCTGAGATGACCTCAGGGGTACACAGAGGGGTCACAGGTGTATTTTACCGATTCAGTGTATCATGTTTACCTATGAACCGTTGTTTTAAAGTGTTTTGAACGACCTTCGTTCAAAAGAGGCGCATTTCAATTTTCTTCCATTGACTTATAATGGAGAGGGCGTAAAATTGACCTGACTTAAGGTCACAGATATAAACAAATCGAGATTAACACTTTATACGAGGGGCGTTCAAAAAGTTCCCGGCCCAACCATGAAGGAGTTGGAATTTCGGCCTGCAACGCGGTGTGTTCAATGATGTGTTATTGGGATGTCCACTTACGTAGCCATTAACCAATCTGCCCTGTGATTGATTCAGGCTGCTAATTAATCGTAACATAGTTTGCCATTCCTGGTCAGAATGGGCGACACCCAGAAGAGAACAGTGATTTGGTTCATGTGTTGCAGAAAAATGCACCAAACGTTATTCACGAAAAGCTAGTGCCAACACATGTTGAGGTTTGTCTTTCTTACAGTAGCGTCAAAAAGTGGTTATCTCTGTTCAATTTTGGTCACCAGATCATTAATGGTCACCCCTACACTGGGCAGCCATCAACAGCATTGACTCAAGAAAATATGAAAAATAAGCACTTCTTTGTGCAAAATGACAAATGTTCTGGTCTGGAACAACGCAGCAGAAGCGGAGGTGTCTATCAGGTTCCTCAAAGCCATTCTTCGATAGCGTATTAATATGTTTAAGATCTCTGCAAGATGCATCCCCCGTTTGCTGACTCCAGAGGAAAGGCAAACTCGAAAGGAGGCGTAACGCGAAAATTTTGGCTCCTATATCGAAGATCCAAAAGAGTTCATTGAACTACTTGTTACCGTGGAGGGATTGTGGGTGTCACACGTTGACCCTAAGGGCGTGACCGAGTTGCACAAGTGGAAGCACACTGAGTAAAGGCCACCAAATGTGTGCGACGTGTCTAAGTCAGACGGCAAGGTGACAGTGGTTGCATTTTGGGATGCTGGCGGGGCTCTGCTCGTCAACTTTCCAAAACAGGGGCGCACAATTAATGATGAATACTACACCTCCCTTCGATAACAGTAGCGAGCAGCATATATCAAGGAGAGACTAGGGAAGCTGACCAAAAGTGTGCGCCTGATCCAGGACCACGCACCAGCACACATGAGCAGGGTGACGATCAGAGAAGCAGTGAGCTGTGGCCTCGAGTTGTTGTCACAGCCACTTTTTTATCCGTACCTTGCACCCTCAGGTTGTCACCTCTTCCCCAACACAAGGAAATTTCTTAGCAGTGGCAACTTCGCTGACAGCAAGGAGACAAAAGCAGCCGTCTTGGACGTGCCAGATGCGTTCAAAACCCACTTGGCTGTGGAGACCCAGGGGCCTCTCGCGAAGCGCTGCGCGAAATGTTTTTGTCTTAACGCTGGTTGTTTGACTAAATGAACATTTTTGGTCCAATAAGTCGACGTCGTATCTCTACTCCTTCATGGTCGGGCCGAGAACTTTTTGAACGCCCCTCGTACATACTAATACTCATATCAATCGCTGAAAGTTTCGAAGTGATCGTTCAGTCGGTGTAGCTATAGCGAGCCTTTGAACTTTTTCTGAGGTAAGGTCACTTGACGTGACCTGGTGACCTCACCTTGAACGATCCGGGTCCGAAATTTTCACATGTGCGAAAATGATGTATGAATAGGTGTACCAAAAACGGCGCCGCGCCGCCGTTTTTGAGATATTTGCAAAAAAACTGAGGGGAGGGGCGTAAAAACATTCTGGCATTCTGGGCATTCTGCCCTATGAGGCATTCTGCCCTATGAACTACCAAAAACATACTATGTGGACATTGGATGGCGATAACGCCTTACAGCGGAAACCGCCAAACACCCGTCGAAATTCA